GACCCTTCATCAGAAACGGGGGAGGGGAAGGGGGTTCTGAAACAAATAGGGAGAGAGGGGAAGGCGGATAGAAGATGGATAGAGGAGAAGATAGGTGGAGAGGAAACAGACACGTAGATCCCCTGAGGTTTGTCCGGAGGGAGGAGGGTAACTTCTTCAGGCTAGGCATCCTTAGAAGAGGCTTCGCAGTGGGGTTAAAATTGTATCAGAGATAGTAGGAACTGCAGATGCTGGAGAATCTGAGATAACAAGGTGTAGAGCTGGATGAACACAGCAGGCCAAGCAGCATCACAGGAGCAGGAAGGCATCTCTGATACAATTTTAACCCCACTGCGAAGCCTCTTCTAAGGATGCCTACCCTGAAGAAGTTATCCTCCTCCCTCCGGAACCTTCCTGCTCCTATGATGCTGCTTGGCCTGCTGTGTTCATCCAGCTCTACACCTTGTTATCTCAGATTCTCCAGCATCTGCAGTTCCTACTATCTCTTATTAAAGACCATTTGCATTTGGCTAACTTGATTGAATTTAAGTAATTTCTTTTGTTCATTCTGGGACATGGGCATCACTGGCTGGCCAGCATTTATTGTCCATCCCTAGTTTCCCTTAAGGTAGTGGTGAACTGCCTCTTGAACTGCTGCAGTCCTCATTCCACAATCTAAGTAGGGAGAGAATTCCAGGAATTTGACCCAGTGAAGGAACAAGTGATATATTTCCAAGTCAGGATGGTGAGTGGCTTGGAGGGGTGGTGGTCCCATGTACCTGCTTCCCTTGTCCTTCTAGTTGGAAGTGGTTGTGGATGTGGAAGGTGATGTGTAAGGGTCTTTGGTGAATTTCTGCAGTGTTTTTCGTAGATAGTATACACAACTGCTACTGAGTGTCGGTGGTGGGAGTGGACGCTTAAGAATGTAGTGCCAATCAAGCAGGCTGCTTTGTCCTGGATGGTGTCAAGTATCTAGAGTGTTTTTGGAGCTACACTCATCCAGGCAAGTGGGGAATATTCCATCACACTCCTGACTTTGCCTTGTAGATGGTGGACAGGCTTTGCGGAGTCAGGAGGAGAGTTATTCGCCGCAGTATTCCCAGCCTCTGACCTGCTCTTGCAGCCACTGTGTTTATGTGGGGAGTCCAATTGAGTTTCTGATCAATAGTAACCCCCAGGATATTGATTGTGAGGGATTCAGTGATGGTAACACCATTGAATGTCAAGGGGCAGTGGTTAGATTGTCTCTTATTGGTGATGATCATTGCCTGGCATTTGTGTGACATGAATGTTACTGTCACTTGTCAGCCTGAGCCTCGATAATATCCAGATCTTGACATATTTGCACATGGACTGCTTCAGTACCTGAGGAATTGCAAATGGTGCTGAATATTGTGCAACCATTGGCGAACATCCCTACCTGACCTTTTGATTGACAGAAATGATGAGGAAAGTATAATTGTATTATCGACTCATTAGCAAAATTTAAGTTCATGGAATTAAAAGGGACAGCAGGATAACATATACATAAAATTGACTAAAGCTTGTGGCGCAAATGTGGTGTCCTTAGCTCTGAGTCGCAAGGTCCATGAAGTGTGTCACAACATATCCAAACAGGTTGATTAAATTTTTTTTTTAAACAAAATACCTAAGGCACTAAAAGCAGAAAGTAATAGTGAACAGTTTTCGTCCAAACTCAAAGTAGTATTCTGTGATGTGAGCCTGGAAGATCACAGCTTTTTTGGGATAAGAGTGCATTAAACAGAACATCGTTTCAAGGTTTACAGATGAAATAAAACATTACGTGAAACATGTAAGGTAGAATAGAAAAGCAGATTAATAACTCAAAGAGAGATAAAGACTGAAAGCAGGGATAGTGTCAGTGACTATTGGGAAATGGCAAACATATTAATAATGATTTAGCCTCAGTATTTACAGTAGAAAAAGGGTTCTGAATGCCTTTGCACATGGACCACAAAATAAACATGCAGTATAGCAAATAATCGGGAAGGAAAATGAAAAGAATGTTATTCCAAGGGAGTGGAGTATAAAAGTAGGGAAGACTTGCTATATTTGTATGGGCCTTTTAAGCTGTACCTGGAGTATATTCTTGCATCATAAGCAGTTCAGTGAAAATTCATTGAGTGGATTCCTGGGAATGAGTGAGCTGTGTTATGTGGAAAGGCCGTGCAGGTTGATTTCAAACTCATTGGAGTTTTGAAGAAAGAGGTGACCAAAATCAACAAGAAGAAATTTTATATACTTGCATAAAGGGAAAGCGGGTGGTCAGGTGCAATGTTGGCTCACTAAAGACTGAAAGCAGGGATAGTGTCAGTGACTATGGGGAAATGGCAAACATATTAATAATGATTTAGCCTCAGTATTTACAGTAGAAAAATAGTGATCGAGGACAAGGACCAAATAAAATTAATGTAAGTAAAACATTGATGAGAAGGAAATTAATGGAACTAAGAGTGACAAATCCCAGGACCTAAGGGTGAAGAAGTAGGGAGCACGTTGTAAATGCCCTAACTAAAATTTTTCAGAGCTCCCCCAGATACAGGAGTTGTCCCTCTTAATTGGAAAATTGTACATCACTCCACTTTATAAGAAGGGTGAAGGAGGAAAACCAGGGGATTACAGACCAGCAAAGAAGAGACGTCCTGAATCTGCACAGGGCGGTGGGGGGCGGGGACACACAGATACATTATGGAAACACAGCAGAGGCACAGTTATCCATGGAAGTCAACTGCAGGAATTTGGCTGAACAAACTTCAACTCAGTGCAATTGCCTCTCACAACTGGTAAAAGTCAGTAGATCCAGACATTCAACAAAATTCAATGTTAATTTGATGGCTTGTTTGAAAACAAAACTCCCAGGTCATCAACATAAAGCAACAAAATATAAAATCATTTCCAGCTATATGGGAAATCTGACAATATTCGAATTAACAACATTTAAAAAAGTACGTGACTGATAAGAATACTGGGCATGGGCAGCCAGAGAAGGAATATTTCAACCAGTGCAGGATTCTAACATTGGATATAATGTATGTAAGACCACTACAGAAAAAAAATTTTAAACACTGCCTGTAAATGTTAGCACTTTGCATGGTCCCCTATGGCAAATAAATAGGTCTAAATGCCACAAAATACCTGCCAGCATAAAATAAAGACATACACATCACACTGTCAAGTCCACTTAACCCGAAGTCACAAAACCAGCCCCAATAGTAGAACAAAACTATCACTGATCCACCATTCAGATATCCTGGAATTAGTGGACAAAGATTTTGACAAGTGACTTCAAGGTGATGGTGATGCAGAGAAGTGGAGGATCCCATCCAGAACAGATGTAGAGGAATCCTGGCCTGAAAACCTACCTAGTTCCATAAAGGATGAGGGATCAAACTGCATTCGATAAGGGCCCATTAGTTGCTGACTTTCCTTTTTCAACTCAGTCTGAACTTCAAAGGTGCCAAACGCATCATCTTCATCCTCTAGATCTACCTTTTTCAGCCTAGTGAGATAACAGGAAGTTAGTATGAAATGCCTGCTTTAGCACAGAAACTGTACTGCTTTCCACAATTGTGCACAGGTTAGGTCTCAAAATATTGACCACAGCCTCCTTTAATTAACCAGAACATTGGGCGTTCAAAGGGGTTTAGACAATATAACGATTTATCATGTACTGTTTGTATGTGGGATGCATTCAGGAAACATTGCAGTTGCAAGTAGAAGATAGGAAACTGGAAAATAAACTTTACCTCCAAGAACAATGAGTTTGTTGTAACGTAGTTCATGCTGAGGTGACTGAAGTTTTCCAAGTAAAGCAGTCTAGTCACATCATTTGATTTGTGATGAAAGGAGGTCAAAGCAATTAGACATGAATATAAACTGAAAGAGGTAGCTTAAGTTGGGATGCCAGAAAATATTAATTCACTGATCTGGTGGAACAGGCAAGGGAGGTTACAGGGGTAAGTAGCTTAAATTGTACAAATGTCTTGGAGAACTGCATCAGTGATACGTTAAACTGATTAAAGCTTCTGTAATACTGTATTTTTCTACACCTTATTCATCTTGATGCAACAGACTCAAAGAAATGGAACCAGACGGATCACCAGGCATCGATCTGGGCACCGGAAAAGATAACAGCAAAAACAGCCCTGTCAACCATGCAAAGTCCTCCTCACTAACATGTGGGGGTCAGTGCCAAAATTGGGAGAGCTGTCTCTCAGACTAGTCACGCAACAGCCTGACATAATCATACTCACAGAATCATACCATACAGGCAATGTCCCAGACACCATCATCATCATCTCTGGATATGTCCTGTCCCACCAGCAGGACAGACCCAGCAAAGGGGGCGGCACAGTGGTATATAGTCAGGAGGGAGTTGCTCCAGGAGTCCTCAACATTGACTCCAGACCCTATGAAGTCTCATGGCTTCAAGTTAAACATGGGCAAGGAAATCTCCTGCTGATTACCACATACTGTCCTCCCTCAGCTGATGAATCAATTCTCCTCAATGTTGAACAACGCTTGAGGGAAGCACAGAGGATGGCAAGGGCACAAAATGTACTCTGGGTGGGGAATTTCAATGTCCATCACCAAGAGTGGCTCGGCAGCAGTAATGCTGATCGAGCTGGTCGGGTCCTAAATGACATAGCTGCTAGATTGGGTCTGCGGCAGGTGGGGAGGGAACCAACAAGAAGGAAAAACATACTTGACCTCATTCTTACCAATCTGCCAGCTGAAGGTGCACCTGTCCATGACAGTATCAGTAAGAGTGACCATCGCACAGTCCTTGTGGAGACAAAGTCCCGCCTTCACATTGAGAATAACTTCCATTGTGTTGTGTGGCACTATCACCATGCTAAATGGGACAGACATCGCACAGATCTAGCAACTCAAGACTGGGCATCCATGAGGCACTGTGGGCCATCAACAGCAGCAGAACTGTACTCCAACACAATCTGTAACCTCATGGCCCAGCATATCCCCCACTTGACCATTACCATCAACCCTGGTCGAATGAAGAGTGCAGGAGGGCATGCCAGGAGCAGCACCAGGCTTACCTGAAGATGAGATATCAACCTGGTGAAGACACCAAACAGGACAACATTCACACCAAACAGCGAAAGCAAGTGATAGATAAAGCTAAGCGATCCCACAACCAACAGATCAGATCTAAGCTCTGCAGTACTGCCACATCCAGTTGTGAATGGTGGTGGACAATTAAACAACTCACTGGAGGAGGAGGCTCCACAAATATCCCCATCCTCAATGATGGAACAGCCCAGCACATCAGTGCAAGAGATAAGGCTGAAGCATTCACAGCAATCTTCAGCCAGAAGTGCCAAGTGGATGATCCATCTCAGCCTCCTCCAGTGGTCCCCAGCATTACAGGTACCAGTCTTCAGCCAATTCGATTCACTCCACGTGATATCAAGAAACGGTTGGAGACACTGGATACTGCAAAGGCTACCGGTCTTGACAACATTCTGGCAATAGTACTGAAGACTTGTGCTCCACAACTTGCCGCTCCCCTAGCCAAGCTGTTCCAGTACAGTTACAACACTGGTATCTACCCGACAATGTGGAAAATTGCCCAGGTATGTCCTGTACACAAAAAACAGGACAAATCCAACCCGGCCAATTACCACCCCATCAGTGTCCTCTGGATCATCAGTAAAGTGATGGAAGGTGTCATCAACAGCACTATCAAGCAGCACTTGCTCAGAAATAACCTGCTCAGTGATGCCCAGTTTGGGTTCCGCCAGGGCCACTCAGCTCCTGACCTCATTACAGCCTTGGTTCAAACATGGACAAAACAGCTGAACTCCAGAGGTGAGGGGAGAGTGACAGCCCTTGATATCAAGGCTGCATTCGACCGAGTGTGGCATCAAGGAGCCTTGGCAAATTTGGAAACAATGGGTATCAGGGGGCAAACTCGCCAGTGGTTGGAGTCATACCTGACACATAGGAAGATGGTTGTGGTTGTGGGAGGTCTAACTCAAATCTGTTTTTTTTTGGTTGGTCAGGGAAATAGAGTGCAATTGAACATCTCAACCAGTTAATAACAATAAGCCAAGGACAGGGAACACAATTCTGATACGTTTGAGAAGTTGCATCTCCCCAAGGGGAAAATTGGCCTTGTTTATTGGAGATCCATGGTAATCACACGCAATGTCTCAGAACAGCATAATGGCTATAGGGCAGCATGGTGGTTCAAAGATTATCCCCGCTGCCTCACAACACCGGTGACCCAAGTTCGATTCCACCCTCAGGCGACTGTCTGCATTGTGTCTGCACATTTCCCCCCCCACCATGTCTGCATGGGTTTCCCCCAGGTGCCCTAGTTTCCTCCCACAGTCCAAAGATGTGCAGGTTAGGTGGACTGGCCATGCTAAATTGCCCATATTATCCGGGGATGTGTAGGCTAGGTGGATTAGCCAATTGGAAATGCAGGTTACAAGGATGGGTCTGAGCGAAATGCTCTTCGGAGGGGAGGAGTGTGTGGACTCGATGGGCCAAATGGCCTGCTTCCGCACTGCAGGGATTCTACAATTCTATGAATTATGATTACTTCACCAAGTGCCATTCTCACAGTCATCAGTAGTAAGTTCTCAAGCATCAACTAAGCCTTTCTTTCCCACAGTCAGAAGAAACAACATGATTAGGAAATAAAAACCAAAAGAACTGCGGATACTGTAAATCAGGAACAAAAACAAAGTTGCTGGAAAAGCTCAGCAGGTCTGGCAGCATCTATGGAGGAGAAAACAGAGTTAACATTTCGGGTCCGGTGACCCTTCCTCAGAACTGAAGGTGGCTGGGAAAACGTCGGTTTATATACAGAAAATAGGGAGGTGGGTGGGGTAGGGAGTAAACGATAGGATAGAGCCCAAAGAGAGAGAAAGACAGTTGGACAGACATGGGAGTTGCTAACGATCAGGCTGGGAGAGTGAATAGTTGTTAATGGGGACTGTTAGTGACTAACAACAGGGAGTGTGTAGTGGCAGGCTATGTGGTAACAAGGCCTGGTGTGTGGGGTGGGGGGCTGGGACATGAGAGTTTAGGCCCTAAAATTATTGAACTCAATATCGAGTCCGGAGGGCTGTAGGGTCCCCAAGCTGAAAATGAGATGTTGTTCCTCCAGCTTGCGCTGGGCTTCACTGGAACACTGTAGCAAGCCGGAGACAGAGATGTTGGCCAGGGAGCAAGGTGGTGCATTGAAGTGGCAGGCAACAGGTAGTTCAGGGTCTTTTTTGCGAGCAGAACGTAGATGTTCTGCGAAGCGGTCGCCAAGTCTACGCTTCATTTCCCTAATGTAGAGGAGACCACATTGTGAGCAGCAAATACAGTAGACTAGATTCTTGAAAGTGCAAGTGAAGTGTTGCTTCACCTGGAAGGTATGTTTGGGCCCTTGGATTCTGGGGAGGGAGGAGCTAAATGGGCAGGTGTTGCACCTTCGCCGGTTACAGGGGAAGGTGCCGTAGGGCTGTGGGAAGGTGTTGGGGGTGAAGGAAGTGTGGACCAGGGTGTCCCAGAGGGAACGGTCCCTGCGGAAGGCAGACAAGGGAGGGGAGGGGAATGTGTGTCTGGTGGTGGCATCTTGCTGGAGGTGGCAGAAATGGCGTCTGATGATCTTCTGGATGTGGATGCTGGTGGGATGGTAGGTGAGGATAAGGGGAACCCGATCGCTGTTGCAGGAGGGAAGAGAAGGGGTGAGGGAGATGGGTCGGACCCAATTGAGGGCCCTGTCGACAACGGAGCTGGGGAATCTTCGGTTGAGGATGAACGTGGACATTTCGGAGGCTCCCTTGTCGAAGTTGGCCTCATCTGAACATATGCGACAGAGACAGAGGAACTGAGAGAATGGGATGGAGTCTTTACAGGAAGTGGGGTGTGAGGATGTATAGTCCAGGTAGCTGTGGAAGTCGGTGGGTTTGTAATGGATATTAGTGGCCAGCCTATCCCCAGAATTGGAAACAGAAATGTCGAGGAAGGGAAGGGAGGAGTCAGGGATAGACCAGGTGAAAGTGAGGGCAGGGTGGAAATTGGAGGCAAAATTGATGAAGTTTTCCAATTCTCGACGAGAGTGGGAAGCAGCACCAATGATATCAGGATGTATCAGAGAAAGAGTTGTGGGTGGGGGCTGGAATAGGACTGGAGCAAGGAATGTTCCACGTACCCCACGAAGAGACAGGCATAACTAGGGCCCGTGCGGGTACCCATGGCAACCCCGCTTACCTGAAGAAAATGAGAAGAGTTGAAAGAGAAGTTGTTGAGGGCGAGGACAAGCTCAGCCAAGCGGAGGAGGGTGGTGGTGGGTGGGGATGGTTCAGGTCTTCTACCTAGCATACACCTCCTCCCACCCACCTTCCCGCAAAAATGCCATCCCCTATTCCCAATTCCTTCACTTCCACCACATCTGCTCCCAGGATGAGACATTCCACTCCCGTACATCTCAGATGTCCTCGTTTTTCAAGGACCACAACTTACCCCCCTCAGTGGTCGAGAATGCCCTCAACCATGTCACCCGCATTTCCCGCAACACATCCCTCACACCCCCTCCCCGCAATAACAAGCAAAACAGAATCCCCCTCGTCCTCACGTACCACCCCATCAACCTCCGCATCCAACGCATCATCCTCCAACACTTCCGCCATCTGCAATCTGACCCCACTACCAAAGACATTTTTCCTCCCCACCCTTATCTGCTTTCCGGAGGGACCACTCTCTCCGTGACTCCCTTGTCCGCTCCACACTCCCCTCTAGCCCCACCACTTTTCCCTGCAACCGCAGGAAGTGCTACACCTACCCCTACACCTCCCCCCTCATCCCCATCCCAGGCCCCAAGAAGACTTTCCACATCAAGCAGATGTTCACCTGCACATCTGCTAATGTGGTATACTGCATCCGCTGTTCCCGTTGTGGCCTCCTCTACATCGGGGAAACCAAGCGGAGGCTTGGGGACTGCTTTGCAGAACACCTACGCTCGGTTCGCACTAAACAACTGCACCTCCCAGTCGCGAACCATTTCAACTTCCCCTCCCATTCCTCAGACGACATGTCCATCCTGGGCCTCCTGCAGTGCCACAATGATGCTACCCGAAGGTTGCAGGAACAGCACCTCATATTCCGCTTGGGAACCCTGCAGCCCAATGGTATCAATGTGGACTTCACAAGCTTCAAAATCTCCCCTCCCTCTACCGCATCCCAAAACCAGCCCAGCTCATCCCCTCCTCCCACCTCAAGCCCCACCTCCATCTCCTACCTACCAACCTCATCCCGCCCCCTTGACCTATCCGTCCTCCTTGGACTGACCTATCTCCTCCCTAACTCCCCACCTACACTCACCTTTACTGGCTCCATCCCCGCCTCTTTGACCTGACTGTCTCCTCTCCACCTATCTTCTCTTCTATCCGCTCCCCCCCTTCCCTATTTATTTCAGAACCCCCTTCCCCTCCCCCATTTCTGAAGAAGGGTCTAGGCCCGAAACGTCAGCCTTCCTGCTCGGCCTGCTGTGTTCATCCAGCTCTACACCTTGGTATCTAAGAATAGGAACTTGTTGCATGGTCTATTAGAAGAACAGATTCTTTCAGTTTGTTTAGGGACAGTTTCAGCTCTGTTAATACACCAATCGTCAGTAATTGCTTAAAAACTCAGTTTATTAAAAGTTTACTGTACCTTGAGGGCAGAAATTTGATCAGTAGTTCCTGAAAATCAATCTTCTCTTCCTTCTTACACTTGGTGTTTCGCACTCGAGCCGAGCGCCTCTTCGCTGGTTCACCTGCCTCATCAGCTATCCGCTTCCTTTTGGAGCCCTTCTTCGCCTTGTCAATGATGGATGTTTCTGCTTTAAACATGATTAATTCAACAAAACACAAACACATCAGTGAATGATCTGCAGAGACAACATTACAGACACTTCAATACAGGTAACTCAAGCCTTACTTTGGATCAACTGCCACATTTAACATAGCTGGTTCCCAGGGCAAATTCATCCGAAAAGTTCCCTTTGCAAGCTTTGAATCTTCTTATAAAGATACAGATATCATTGCATTCCAAAATTCAAGGTTAATAGTCCAGAGAATGCTCATTCAAATCTACCACTGATTTTTGAAATAAAACAAAGAACTGTGGATGCTGGGAATCTAAAACAAAAACAGAAAGCTGGGGAAACTCAGCAAGTCTCACAGCGTTTATGGAGAGAAAGCAAGGTGAATGTTTCAGGTCCAGTGACCCTTTTTCAGAACTGAGGGGTTCTGGACTCAGAGTGTTAACTCTGCTTTCTCCCCATAGATGTTGAGAGACCTGCTGAGTTTCTCTAGCAATTTCTGTTTTTGTTTCAGATCTCCACCACCCACAGTTCTCTGTTTTATTGCCCCCTGAAGGAAGCTAATTTGTTATTTCTAAAAACAAGACATCAATTCAAGAAGGTGATGGTTCACTACTATCTTCACAGGATAACCACAGATCATCCAATCAGGATACTTACTGCACAATAAAGGCTATTCAGCTCATCATGCTATTTAGTAATCCCACAAGAGTCGAGCATCATATTTTGCAGAATATTACTATTTCACAATTGTTTGAGGCCTCACTTCATCTTCCAATGGGTGCAACCCGGTCTTGTCGGTGCTGTAGCCCAAGTAGATCACGTGAGGTGCCTGGAACACGTTTTTCTCTTCTTGGGTGCGTGCCTTGGAGAAACATCTAAGGACTATGTCCAAGTTTTCTAAGTGCTCTGTATTGGTCTTCCCTGTTATTAGCACGTCATCCAGGTAAATGGCGACCCAGGGTAGACCTTGCAAAATGTTCTCCATTGTCTACTGAAAAATTGCACAGACTGACAATACCCCAAATGGCAGTCCCATACATCGGTAAAAGCCCTTATGGGTATTAATTGTAGCCTACTTCTGGGAATCCTCATCTAACCGCAACTGCAGATATGCATGGCTCATGTCCAGCTTACTCAGAGGCAGCTCACAGAGTGTCAGAATGCCTGACATTCCTCTTTGATGTCCACCTGGCTGAACTCATTACCATCACAACAGAACCAGAGGTCACAGTCTCAGGATACAGACTAGGCCATTTAGGACAAAGATAATGAACCATTTCTTCATATACAGGGTAGTCAATCTGTGGAATACACTATCCCAAAGAATGTGAAAGCCATTCAAGAAAAAGATTGATACATTTTTAAATATTAGAGACTTCAGTGGTTATGAAAAGGAAGTGTGATAGAAGATCTGCCATAATCATACAGAATGACAGAGCAGGCTACAAGGGCAAAATGCCCTATACATCTGTGATTTAGTGTCAATGTCTTGTCAGATTATGCTCCTTTGAAGTGCCTTGTGATTGGTTAAATATGTGAAAGGCACTACATGAATTAAATTTGTTACTGGCGTTGTTAGTGTACTTATTCATGGGCCGATCTTAGGCTCAGCCAGACATGGAGTTGTCAATTCCTGCAATGGGGGCTCACCTGAAAGTCCTATTTCAGTAATTGAAGAGCGACAGCAGAAAATAAGTTGATCTCACAAATACATGGAGAAGCAAGTTACCTTGTAATTTGATCCCAGAACTCATCTCAACAAACAGTTTACGTTTAGGTAGCTCCTTTAACATGGAAAATGATCCCCAGGATTTTTCAGAATATACAAGTCAGAAACAAAACAATGTCAAATCACCGAAGTACAGTACTCAGACATAGATATTCACATGTCAGAACAAAGTATAAGTAGTTGCAGCTTCTCCCCCCACTTCCCTTTGTCAATTTCATCAGATTCCAGCACTGGTAGCTGACTGGCCAGAGCTCAAGTATCCATGTTGGTTTTTCTCAGTGCCAATCCAACTCAAATGGGGCTCTTGCAGGAAAGTTGTAGTATCCCTACCTCAGTGCCAGAAGGCCTGTGGTCAAGACCCACCTGCTTCAGGGGCATGTAATAATATCTCCAAATAGGCTGATTAGAAACTATCTAGAAGTCTAGCTCAGGGATGAGTTCCCTCTTATATTACTCCTGTCCTCCACAAACTCCCTCTCACTTTCTGAGATCGCATCATGGCTGCCAATTTTTTGTCTGCATAGATAAAGAGGATATTAACACAGAAGAATGTCCCATTACTCAGCAATCAAAGGTCATCAGAAGCATTGTAATTACTACGATGGGGAATCATCCAAAAACAAATTCACTCAACAAAACATGACTACACGTATACCAAGTTCCCACATTAACTTCAAAACCTGCTGTTTTCTCTCACTTCTGGCATCACAGATACAATTATACTCATGCTAACCTTGTGTTCCTACAGTTTCTGACACACTTGGAACTGGAGTTGGAGCTGCTGGTGTAACCATAGCTGGTGCTGGCATTGTTGGTGCTGTCACTACAGGTGCAGGACTGGATGTTGCAGGATTGGGCTGGATGACACTGACAGGCGTGCTAGTTGGTGACGTCAACAGATGTTGAGAAGGGTCTCTGTACATGCAAAGGTCTATCATTCTGCCAAGGCTGGGGTGAGGGGGCTCGGAAGATGTCAACTGCATGTAGGTAGCCAGTAAACTCTCACCCAGGCACCTCCACCTATAAAAAGAAAACAACAATATATTAAATGACTGCATTGCCAGAAGGAATTGAAGTATTGATCTTTCAATAGTACAGTTTACAGGTGCTCCTACAAAGTTCTGACAGAGGGATAAATCATAGTCAAAGCATTGGTCTTCTTGGTGATTCAATAGACATGCAATCCTGTGCAGGTACCAGCATGTAGAGAGAAAGAAAAAAGGATGGAAAACGACTATTCACCCCACCTGAAAAAGCTCTTTGAACGTAACTGTGGAATTAACTTGTAAAAGGAGATTTTTAAGATTCTGCTTGCATTTGCTTCTCCCACAGTACATTTTGTTCTTATGCAACTCACAGATACATGCTGGAACCTGAAGATGGTGAACCAATTGTGCATATAAACAGCATTACATATCAGTACAATATTATATCTAATTAGAAAGTGCAGGAGAAAGCGCAAGTAAGACTAATGATAAGACTTTAAACTGGCAAGCAAGGGGAAAATAGTGACCCAGACGTTAAGATGAAAGAATTAGAAGATAAAAGTAGAAGAAGTCAGAACGATGTAGGGACAAGGGGTTCAAATAAAAAAGTAACAGGCGTGGGATTAGTTGAACCAAAGGGTCGGTTTTCCATGCTGTATGACTCTATGATTGCTAAAAATAAATAAATGCAACAATTCAAGATACATTCAGATCAGCTAAGCAGCAATGCATTTTTCAAATCAATTAAAACAGGGAACTGGAGGCAATATTCTGTAAGTCGAAAAACCCAGGCACTGATAGATTCAAAATGTGCAGAGCATGCTAAATGAAAAAAAATGGACAGAGGCAATGACTGGTGAATTTTCGACAATTCGAGAAACACCATCAACTTTATCAAGCAGTGTGAAAATATGGCAGCAATAATCAGAAAATATACCATGTCAACTTATCATTTTTGGCAGATGCTAATGCCTCAAGAGCCGCTTTAAAGACAATATATCAGCAACGAGCCACGTTTGTAAAGTTCCAACACGTATCAGGAGAGGCACGTACAACACAATGGAATGCCAAATGCAACTATTTGGTTATTCCAGTAACTGGGGGTTATCATTGACCAGAAACTGAACTTACTAGCCATTTAAATGCTGTGGGAACAAGAGCAGATCAGAGGCTAGGAATCCTGCTGCCAGTAATTCACCTCCTGACTTCCAAAGCTATCTATCACCTTCAAGGCAGAAAAAAAAGACTGTGATGGAATATCCTCCACTTGTCTGGATGGTTAAAGCTCTAACAAGTAAAGAAGCCCAGTACGATCCAAGACAAGGCAGCTTGTTTGACTGGCACCCAATCCACCAGTGGCAGCGTTATGCACCATCCACAAGATATGTGATAGTGACACAACGGGGCTTCTTCAACAGCAACTTCCAAACCCACAAGCTCTACCACCGAGAAGGACAACGGCAGCAGATACATGGGAACACCAACCCCTGCAAGATCCAGAAGCCACACACCATCCTGATTTGGAACTTTACTGCCATTCTTTTATTTTCACTGGGTCAAAATCCTGGAAGTCTCTTCCTGTTATTAGTGTGGGTGTCCCTACGTCCCAAGAACTGCCACAGTTCAAGAGTGCAGCTCACCACCACCTTCTCTAAAGCAATTAGGGCTAAGCAATAAATGCTAACTAACAATGCCCACAACCCATCAATGAAGAAGAAATATCCAAAGCATGTGACATTAAAATGGCAATTAGTGGGTGTACCTTTCCTAGGCCAAATGCAGGATTGGATTAAGAGGATGATCAACTTTAGAACATGTTCATTTCCAAAAGCTCTTAAATGAATTTTATCCAGTTCACTCACCACAGTTCTGACACAGCACCTCAAATACAGAAACCCAAGTTAACATTAACAAGGTGTGTCAAATACAAAACATTAAATCAGTTCCTGTTATTACAAAGCTGTGGTAAGGTTTGTTCTCATTTTATTCAGCTTCACAAATATTGAATAGCAGTCTATTTACTTACATTAAAAGCAAAGCAAAGAAATAGGTACACAAAACAACATTTCACACATATCCACCAGTCTGAGGCAGGGCAGTAGTTAGACATTCAGGCCCACAGAGATCAAATGTACATTTACAAACAGCCCCTTAACCATTACATACGTGAAGTGAGAGATTGGTTGTGCTAGTTGAAGATCTGGCTCCTCTTCTGGTATTGCCAATGCCTGTCTTCTCCTTCGGAGCTCCAGAGCTTCTTCAATAACAGCTTTAGCCTCTGCTGGATCCACATCCAATGCATGAATGGACATGTCGCTAAAAAGAATGGATAAAAGCAGTGCTCAGAGAAGTAAACAGTATAACAGTACAAGTTAATTTTTATCCCACTTCATTTTGCAGGAGTGAAGAACATCCTGGAGGTTACTACTGACCAGAAACCGGATTAGACCGGCCATACAAATACTGCAGCTACAAGAGCGAATAAAAGGCTAGGAATTCTGTAGTGAGTAACTCATCTCCTGACTTCTCAAAGCCTGTCCACCTTATACAAGGCACAGGTCAGGAATGTGATGAAGTACTCTCCGCTTACCTGGAGCGAATAGCTCCTAAAATACTTCAAGAAGCCTGAAAACATTCATGACAAAGCAGCCCTACCCACCAGCTTCAACCTTCACTCACAATGCCAGTGTGCAGCAACTACAAAATGCATGGCATTAACTCACCAAGGCTGCTTTAACAGCACCTTCTAAATCCATGACCTCTACGAGCCAGAAGAACAAGGGCAGATGATGAATGGGAACACTGTCTCCTTGCAAGTTCCCCTCCTAGTCACTCATCATCCTGACATGGAAATATATCACCATTTCCTCAGTGTCACTGGGTTAAAAATCCTGGAACTTTCTTCCAAACAATATTGTGGGTGTACCTACAACCCAAGGACTGGAATGAAAAACACAGCTCACCACCTCCATGTCAATTGGGGATGGGCATTAAAAACTGGCCAAGTCAGCAACACCTACACCCCAGAAATAAACTAAAAGAAAGAAAATTCCACCTGACTCCAATTCAACCAAATTACACACTATCAAGCTCTTAACATGAAGTTAGAAACAAAAAAAAAAACTGCAGATGCTGGAATCCAAGGTAGACAAACAGGAGGCTGGGAGAACACAACAAGCCAGGCAGCATCTGGAGGAAAGGAGCAATCGACCGTTCGGGTATTACCCTTCTTCAGTCCTGAACATGGTTTCGGGTATTAGCCTTCTTCAGTCCTGAAGAAGGGTAATACCCGAAACGTTGACTGCTCCTTTCCTCCAGATGCTGCCTGGCTTGCTGTGTTCTCCCAGCTTCCTGTTTGTCTCAACATGGAACGTTGTCTTTTGGGAGTTCATATCAAGATGTTGTGTATATTACATCTGCAATTTTCGAATCAACACCAGAACTTACCGACATATTCTCTACTCAGAAGCCTATCTAATCTTAGAATCACTTGTACATCACGACTGGACAGTAATAAATGCAGTACAAAGGAACTGTTACATTGTCATCCACAGAAGGGCAACTTGGAAAAGATAATAACTACTGGCCCTGCAAGCAAAGTCCCTATCTCATAAATGAATAAAAAGAAAGTCAATATCTGAGACAACATTCCTCCTTCAACCATTACCAGTTTAACAGGTCATCCATGTCATTGCTGTTTATGGGGCTTGCATTGTGCAATTTTCAACCCAAGTGCAGAACTTAGCCATATACAGAAGTCTACCCAAATGTGTACGAAAATCATTTAAAACGTGGGTAAGTGGATCTGAGTCCACGAAAAGATCAGCCATGATCTTATTGAATGGCACAGCAGGCTCGAAGGGCCAGACGGCCTACTCCTGCTCCTAGTTCTTATGTTCTAAAAGGTCAGGATTGGACCATATTAAGTGCAGTACTAAGGAAGTGCTGTATTGTCAGAGATAGCAGTCTCTGGATTATACAGTAAACATTCCAATCATGAGGTAATGGATTACCAAAAACTTACATTAAAATCAAATACATTGTATTCCTTCATAACTGCATAAAAATCCTGGAACTCTCTCCCAGACAATATTGGGGGTTTACCTACATGAAATGGACAGCAGTGGTTTAAGGCGGCAGCTCGTAACCAACAGCAGAAAGGCAACTAGGAAACGAAAATAAATGTTGGCCCAGCACGCACAGTCCCTATCTAGACTCAGAATCCCTACAGTGTGCAAACAGGCCAATTGGCCCAACAAGTTCACACCGCCCTTCTGAAGAGCATCCCACCCAGACCCATTCCCCTACGCCTGATTTCCCCATGTCTAACTCACCTAACCTAAACATCCCTGGACACTATGGGCAATTTAGCATGGCCAATCCACCTAGCCTGCACATCTTTGGACTGTTGGAGGAAACTGGAGCACCCGGAGGAAATCCATGCAGGCACGGGGAGAACGTGCAAACTCCACACAGACAGTCATCTGAGGCTGGAATCGAACTCTGGTCCCTGATGCTGTGAGGCAGCAGTGCTAACCACTGAGCTACCGTGCTGCCTAGAACACAGAATACATGGAATATAGAATCCCTACAGTGCAGGAAGAGGCCATTCAGCCTATTGAGTCTGAACCAACCCTCCAAAGAGCGTCCAACTGACACCCAGCCCCCTATCCTCATAACGCTGCATTTACCATGGCTAACCCACCTAAACGCACATCTTTGGACTGTGGGAGGAAATTGGAGCACCAGGAGGAGACCCACGCAGTGATGGGGAGAACGTGCAAACTCTACAGTCACCCGAGGGTGGAATCAAACCCGGGTCCCTGGTGCTGTGAGGCAGCAGTGTTTACCACTGAGCCACCATGCCACTCGCTATCTCATGAATGAATGAGAAGAAAGTCAATATCAAGACAACATTCCTCCCTCAACCATCATCAGCTTAATAGGTCATCCATCTCATGCTCTTTATGAGGTTTACATGTGCAGAGGGTTCCATGTACATCAACAAAGGTTATTTGCTCCAATTACCTGTATTTGTAACATTACAATTTTGTTGCCTCTGATGAAGATAAACACCTTTTAGCCGGATTTCTTTTTTAACCACCAGTCCCTGCATGTATCAATCTAGTCTGTTCCTTTACACGGCAGGCACTTTGGATGCTAGATAACCCCTCTTAATCCAGAAAGACATTGAGGCAGTGCAAATGTCACTGGACTTTTAATCTAGAGGTCCAGGCTAATGCTTTGGGACCATAGGTTCAAATACCATCTTTGCAGCGGGTGAAATTTAAATTCAATTGATAAATCTGGAACTGAAAATGATTCTCAATTATGGTGACTTGTAAAGTGAATTGTAATAATTGTCATAAAGACCCATCCGGTTCACTAACATCCTTTTAGGAAAGGAAATACGCTGTCCTCTGTTCCCTTTAATACATTGCATACATCAATTAAGTCTGTTACCTTCCTTGTCAGACTGCATGCGGTCTTGAAAATCCTAGTCACAGTCTGACATCCTCTCCACGCTTCTATCCTCATAATGGCTCCAATCTTATAGCATTTAGGGGAGACAACGACCTTGTGGCATTATCGCTCAACCGTTAACCCAGCAACACACGTCATATTCTGGGGACCAGGATTTGAATCCTACCACAGCTGGTGGAATTATAATTCAATTAAAAAATTTGAAATTAAGAATCCGATAATGACAGTGAATCCAGTTTCGATTGTCGGTAAAACCCATCTAGTTCAGTAATGTCCTTTCAGGAAGGAAAGGACTATCTCTATCTGGTCTGGCCTACATGGGACTCCAAACCCACAACAATGTGGTCACATCTGCTGGGATGGACACTAATTTATGACCTAGCCGGTGACGTTCACATCCCACAACTGAATAAAAAAAAAAAATTAGACATTTAGGGAAACTATTGTCAAGATAAAGAGAGAGAGAGATAAAGGAGAGAGGGAGAAAGAAAGGAAAACAAAAAAGTGAGGGAGGAAAACAAGTGATGGATTGCAATGGATTAATCAAATCAGATCATTTTGCTCAAACATGTATCCCAGAAAAAACAATTTGTTAGCTGGCAAAGGGTCTTTCACAAATGACCCTCAGGAGGCCTTAACATTATGATGTTGCTTGCTCCATTTCTGTAAAGGCAATTCAGTAGGCACTGACATTACATTATGGACTCAAATCCAACTGGAAGATCCTAATTTTAGAATTCAAAAGACAAAGATAAAACACAAGTACCTAAATAAGCATCAACAAACAGACAGATATGGGATGATGAAGGCTTCAAATACACTAACCGAATACTACATAATTGGTAGGTGCATTTCATAAAACCTTAAAAGAAGGGATACAAGGTGTCGGGAGGATTACTAGAAACAAATTGCATTATGGAAAATATAAAACTGAAATAGAGAGAATCACACGAAGTTTCAGGTCTACAGGGAAAGAGAAAGCAGTTGTGATATTGCACAACTTAAAATTAGATAGAGGTGGTATGGCTCAAAGTAGAAAGGTCACAAGGTTTGGATAAAGCAAATGCTAGTTGCTGACAGATCTAAGATTATAAATTGCATAGATTCTGGGCACTATTTGCCATCAGAAGGCTCAAGAATTACAAAAGGGGAGAACGATAAACAACTGTCCAGTCAGCCAACAATGCTGTTGACTGCAGCTTCAAAAACACTCAAGAAACGCATCAACTTCTAGGACAAAGCTATCCACTTGATTAGTATCTCATCCCACCATTTTTAACAATCACTCCCTCCCCCCACTGATACACTGCAGGAACTCTCCACAGCTGCTTTACACAGTATCCTATAAAACTACAATCTCTACCATCTAGAAGAGCAAGGACAACAGGTGAACGTGAACACCACTGCCTACATTCCTCCCAAAGTCAGACAATACTGACTCAAAATGGCATTGCCATGGCTACATCATCACTGGATAATGAAACTGTGAGAGCACAGGCTGCAACCATACAGGGCAATTTACCACCTTCTCAATAGCAATAAATGCTGACCCTGCCATCAAAGCCGACAATCCATGATCGAATCATTGGGTACCCAATGATGAAACACGATGTATGCATTTCACTATACAGGTCTGAAGCAACAGGTGAAATTCTTGGCACAATAAAAGCTCATTGTGGTTAGAAACAAGAGTTTTGACTCGAACTGTCATTAAAAGGCACAGTGTGTTAACGAAAGAGTATTTTGCAATCTCTGCTTAAGAGCATTGAAGTCAAAAGAGTTCACCAAGTATTGGAAAGCTACAACTCACTTTCAAACTGACATAGCAGAGTTTGCACTAAACATGATACTACAAAGATTTGGTGAAAATACTTCCAACTCATGGCTGTGTGTCACAAGGAGCAGCATGGATCCTGCAGCTGATCCTGGGATTGCAGGCTTAGTTAAAGATTTATTATAATTTATTTTATAGTCATTATTGTTTACTAATATAGGATTTTTTCCATTTTGTTTTATGAACATTCAAAACAAAAACCAAAAGAAAACCACAATTTTTTCTCAAAAGGACTTTTTTTAAAACTTTAAGGGTCTACAGTGAATGGCTGAGGTTTTTCTTTTTTTAAATTTCTGAATTAAGAAAAAAGTCTGTATGTGTTTTAGAGGGTTCTTTTCTTTACATTGCAATAGTTTTTTTTCCAATAAATGAACATTTTGTTTTTTAAATAAGGAGTTGTCTTTTTATTCTGCAGAATCCTACGTGCAGTCAGCTCCAGAGAAGACTTTTTTTCCTTTGAGGAATTTATTGAAGAGGAATCATTTTTATTCAGTCAGCCAGCTAAGTGGTTGATTTTATTTAATATGTTTGATGCATATATTTTTAATTTTGTTTCCATTTTAACATTATTTTCCATAGGAAATGAAAGGTAGTTTATTTTATACATAAGGTATTATTGAAACATCCTTTCTTTTTAGGCTTAATGTTATTAAGGCCAAATATAAGGTACAGAATGAGATGGCTAGTAGATTTAGAAAAGTTATTACCCAGCAGGATCAGTCAGATAGACGGGCGACTGTCAGGAAAGTTAAGAAGGTAGTTCAAAAATCTCCAGCAGCTATTCCTCTATCAAATAGATTCAGTTTTTGGAACAGTTGAAGGGGATATTCTCTCCGAGGAAAATGGGACGGGCCAGTCAGTTATTGGACACTTGGAATAATTCTTACGTTAGGCAGCATTTGACAAGATTTAACAGAATTATTGTTATAGGGGACTCTCCTGTCAGGAGCATAGACAGGCGATTCTGTGGCAATTTAGGTTTGATACTTTCCTGGTGCTAGGAGTAAAGCAGTACAGAGTGAATTGAAGAGGTTAGGTAGAAGATTTAAAAGAACCTTAAAAGTAGTAACTTCTGATTTACTCCCAATGCCACACTCAAACAAGGGAAGGAACAAAAGGCTAAAGCAGATAAATCAATAGCTATACAGCTGGTGTATTGTTCAGGAATTCAGGTTTTTCAACAATTAGGCTGTCTTTTGGGATACAGAAGACCTTTTCAAAAAGGATGGGTCAAACCTAAACTGGAAAGGGACCAATATCTTAACAGGGGGATTTGTTCACTCTATTCAGGGAGACTTTATACTGAGAAAGAAAGCAAGTGGAGGAATTCTAAGTAGCAGTATAAATGAAAGGATTGATGGAGTAGGTCCTGAATGTGAGGAGAGCACATCAATTACAAAAGAAAGACAAGAGACAGCATATGTAGTGACTCTGAAGAAATACACTGCATTTATTTCAATGCAAGGGGTCTTATAGGTAAGGCTGATGAATTCAGGGCATGTTTAAGAACGTGGGATTGGGACATCATAGCTATTACAGAAACTTGACTGAAAGATGGACTAGACTGACAGCTCAATGTTCCAGGTTTTAGATGCTATAGGAAGGATGGAAAGGAAGCAAGAAGAGGGGTGGGGTGGCATTTTTGGTTATGGAACACATTACTGCTACCATATTTCTGAAAAATCATCCAGTGAAAATATACAGATAGAAATTACAAATAAGAAAGGAAAGATCACTTTGATGTGATTGTACTATATGCCCCCCAAAAGAAAGAGAGAAATTGAGAAACAAATATGTAGGGAGATCTCAAATATAGGTAAGCATAGTAAGGTTGTAATAATGGGGGATTTAATTTTCTAGACATTGACTGGGACTAACAGCGTTAAAAGTTTGGACAGCGAAGAACTTGTCAAATGTGCTCAAGAAAATTTTCTTTCAGCATGTGGATGCTCCTACTAGAAAAGGAGCAAAACTAGACCTTCTTTTGGGCCTTGGGTAGTGTTGTAGAACAGAGGGACCTCAAGAGTGCAGGTACATAATTCTTTAAAGTTTGCGTCACATACGGACAGGATGGTTAAAAAGACATTTGGCACACTTGCAATCATTGCTCAGTCCTTTGAGTATAGGAGTTGGGATGTTATGTTATGTTGAGGTTGTACAAGACATTGGGGAGGCCTCTTCTGGAGTACTGTGTTCAATTCTGGTTGCCCAATTATAGGAAGGATATTATCAAGCTGGAGAGAGTTCGAAAGAGGGTTCACAATAGGAAGTTGCCGGGTATGGAAGGTTTGAGTTATAAAGAAAGGCTTGATAGGCTGGGACTTTTTCCACTGGAGCGTAGGAGGTTGGCAGGTGACATGATAGAAGTTTATAAAATAATGAGAGGTAGATAGAGTTGGTGATAGTGTCTCTTCCCCAAGATGGGGAATTTCAAGACTAGGGGCACATTTTAAGGTGAGAGGAGAGAGATTTAAAAATGACAGACGTAAGAGGCAAATTTTTTTTTACACAGGGGGCAGTTCACATGTGGAATGAACTTCCTGAGGAAGTGGTGAATGTGGGTACAATTACAACATTTAAAAGACATTTGGATGGATATATGAATAGGAAAGGTTTGGAGGGACATGGGCCAGGAGCAGGCAGGTGGGACTAGATTAGTTTGGGATGATGTTCAGCGTGGACTGGTTGGACCGAAGAGTCTGTTTCTGTGTTGTACTCTATGACTAAGGGCAATACTACTCTGAATCGGGAAGGACTTCCAAAACACCGTCCTCAGATTCTGCTCTTTCCCACCCCTTTGCACTGCCATATATTGAATTATCTTTCCACTCCCCTTCATTCCATTTTGCATATGCTCACTCTGAAAACTGGTCCTTAGTTCATAGTCTGCTGATGCTTCATCTTGAGCTGTTTCCTTAGCAGCTTTTGCCAATGGTAGCTTGCCATTACCTACCACTCAAAAGGAACAGGGCATAGAGGTAGGCCACAAGTCTATGTCAACCAGGAAGAGGACTGAAACCATGCTATTGACATTACTCTGAACACATACCACGAACCTAGCCAACTGAGCTATCTGGTCCCTGCCAGTTCATTGTCATTCCCTTCTCACATTTCATTAATTCTTCCCTTCATCTTGACTCTGTCATTTATTTGGACCTATCCCTTCTCCAACCAATATTCCTTCATCCTCTTAGCATCCATTCTACTTCCATTCTCTCACCATTAATCATTTTATCCCATCTTTTCCACCCATTATACTCACTACCCTTTCATTTTGTCACTTAATTCTCCCCATTCTTTGCATCATCCATTTCATCCCCAATCCTGTCACTATCAACTACCCCAATTTCAGTCCCATCCATCACCCTTGACCTTCCTCATCCATTCTTCATCTCCCCTTCACTATCTTTCTAATTGACTCTCACCCTCTCTGTCACCTGTCCTCTTACCTGCACTCAGTTCCATCCATTTGCTGCCCTTTTGCCTCTTTTTCAGCCAATCCCCAATATTCATTTCCCATCTTCCCTTTCAGGTTGTACAGTTTGCTACCTGAACTTAGAAATTTGATGATTTTTCAGCATCTTTTCCATACGTACAGGCATAAAACTTTCAGATTTATGGCTCTCAAAAGGATAATTATCAAAGGCTGACCTCAATGCTAAAAATAGATTTATTATGGTGCAGACTACAATTTTCTTGGCTACTACTGGCAAGAATAGAAAGACAAATACATAGTGCCAAACCATATTAGGGCTGTATAGTAACAGGTTAAAAACTTACCATTTCAAGAACATACGGAATGAGTCTTTTCGCAAACAAGGCTGTTCTTCAAAAATCTTCTCTTTCAAAACTAAACCCTTGCTGTACCGACAGTCCTTCTCTAAAGCTTTACAGATATAATACAGACAATCTGAAATAGAGAAAACCAATGTAATTTTGGTGCTTTTTCTAATTATGTATGAAATTTGTTTATTAAGCTGCCACTATCAACATATTCATCAACATCTATCATAACTTAATTAGCTTCAGAAGCGGCCTTCAAAATCCATATTAAAGCTTCTGCATAGGTCATAATGCCTGTCTGTTTTGAACAATCTCTAAAGCAGAGATACTAAGTATTCACCAGCAGGAGGAAAGATCAAATCTGCCAAACTGCCCTTATAAAGATCATAACGTTTGGGATTTATTCTGCAGTTTGAGACAGTTCCAGCAATTGTAAAATGCTCCTCTCAGTTTCATGCCAAATCCTACATCGGAGGCAAAAACAGCAGCAGCATGCAGAGTGCCAGCGCCTCTCCAGTATTCTGGGCAGAAATCAATCATGTGGCTTAAAAGATCTTGCAGTTTTGAGCACAAGGAGTTCCACCTACAATTACAATATATCTAAGCCCCTCAATCTTTTATGTCACTTGTTATGATCGCAGAAGATGTTAATAGTGGACAAGTCAGATCTTAGATTAAAAGCTATCATAATAGATTATATTTCAAATGTTGGCGTTTAGTTAATGCAGTGGATAGCCACCGAGACACATTCACGGGAGGCTGCAGATTTTGTGTTAATAACAGAACATAAGTTTATAACAAAAAGAAGAAAACAAACAAAGCTATACACAGAAGTTGGTTAGAACAACCTTATCACAAATATCAAAACATTTCAACCTGTAACTGTCCATTACAGATAAATGTCACTATAGTTTTTAAACTGATATTTTCCAGTTTCTTTCCCTTTGACTGCTGAGATATTTTCAAAAACAAAACAAAGTTTCTTTTCAAGTCTGTTGATACAAACCACTCAATTCTGAACTTGGTTTCTATCCAGAGTAGAAACCAATTCTGTTGAGAGACTACTTCCCCTGGACTGATTCAATTCTCCCGCTGGGTGAAACTACTCTATCTTCTTAATTGAACTCTAAATTCTTCAGAACTAAAAGTTTTAACCTTCTGTCCTGCAGTCAAAACTAAATTACTTGCCTTAGTGCATTTACTCTGCCTATCTTTTCCATGAACGCTACAGCGGTCCTGCTAGGCATTCAGCTGCAACCATGCGCTTTCTTAGAACTGACATAGTTTGATCACTGTTCCAAACTGACTTTCAGACCTTTCTTTAAAAAGAAACTTCACAGAACTGACCAATATTCATCTACCTTGGTGATAGTGTGATTGACTGTTAACTGACATCTGGGCAAATAAGGGCAGGCAATAAATGTTGACCTAGCCAGCAATACCCACATTTCGTGAACAAATAATAAAAAGAAAGCTCAGTACATACTTTAAAGAAAATAGTCTGCACCTTATAATCTGCAGCTAAGTGACAGCATTCACAACTGACTTCAAAGAAAGCTGCCTACAAAAAAAAAGTTTTACAGTGCAATTTCACTTTTCCTCACATTAATCTGAGTTGCAAATCAACTGTAGGAAACAGTGAACATCCAGCAAGAAATGCCATCAAACAGGCTGAGGATCAAATCACAATGAAAAGTTGTCACAGACAACAAACCATAAAGGAAAATATACTGTTTGTCCTTCACTTTTTAAATCATTTAACTGACAGCAAAATCTACATGGATTAAAGTAATTTAAACGTAAAAACTAATTTAAAATACTGGATTAAAAACCTAGAGAATTATCATAATGGAGAAATTTGGCCCTCCATAAATATAAAATTAGCTTTTCTGGGCCAAAGATAATAATTATGGTATATTGTTCAAAGTCCCATTAACCGCATTCAATAACATTTTTTTCCTGATAGTTTCTACAATAAAACTCAGACCAGAAAAAGTGAATGCCCACAAGAAATCGTGCATTACTAACATTCCCACCTGCCAGGATTTCAACTGCAAGCCCTATGCAGGGGTACAGAATCAATAGCAACAACTTCTGAATTTCTTATATAACAGCACACAGCACAAGCTGCCACCAATTTCAATTAAACTGGCACCACGAAAAATCCAGGTTTTTTGTAAGAAAACAACTAGCTTTGAGCTGCATAGATATTACTCTTCTGTCTCAAACTGTTTACTAGTGATATATAAATGGGATTTTGAGTGAGGCAAACTAAAGTCGAAACACCCACAGGGCATATAATCATCACCTAGCAAGGCCAAAAACAATTGATTTTTTAAAATCATGCAGGAACAAATTCCTTAACTTGTAAGAAACAAGCCACGTGTTCTTGCGTCTAAACAAGAATTCTTTTCACAAATGGAAAGTTTTAGATATGAAAAGACATTGGATACAGTGATCTTGTTTTTCTTGGAGCAGAAGAGATGGGGGAGGGGTGACAAGATGGAGATGTATAAAATTTTGGAAGCATTGATCGGATAAACAGGAAGGGAATTTTCCACTAAGTGGAGGGATCATTGACCAGGAGACTTAAATGGAAGTTAAAAGGATAGCAAGTTTAGCGAGGATATGAGGAGGAATGTTTGCACCCACAGGGTGGTCGGAATTTGGAACTCACTGCTTATAAGGATGGTAGAAGCAGAAATCCCCTCATAACATTTAAGTAGCATTTAGATGTGCTCTTGTGTTGCGAGGGTGTACAAGGGTTTGAAAGTGCCTGAAAGTGGGATTATGATAGCTTAGTGTTTGTTTTTTTACTGGTGCAGACTTGATGGGCTGAAGGGTCTTTTTCTGTGCTGTAGACCTCTACCTCTATGTCTCCAAATAATCTTTTGGTGAGTATACTGACTTGTAACAAAAAGATATTCAAGAAATTCCACCGAGTTGTGTGATTAGCCACACACCATTTTAGCTTACACTTGAAATACAATTAAACTTTCTCCAGAGCTTAATCTAGAAATGCTCATGAAGACAATCAACCCACTCCATTCAGATTACTGCATAAAATAATTTGCTTGAGGCCAGAAATCTAGGTACAACACTCTTTTGGGTTTAGTACAAATTCCACAAAAAAGTTTAATCTTATTACGCTGTAAGGACTCCAGCATAACATTAGCTTTGTTCAATCTAAACTTTTCTTTGACTATATATAAAACCCAAGGGTCAGACATTACAAGGAGGAAAATACTCAGTTCACTAAGTCAAAATCCTAGAATTCCCTCCCTAACAGCACTGTGGGTGTACCTACACCACATGGACTACAGCACTTCAAATGAAAAGGTCACTCGCTGCAATGTCTGAGGCAATTAGGAATGGACAATGAATGCTGACCTGGCCAGCCTTATGCGGTGAAAGAATTTTTGAAAAGTGACTAAGTGGAAAGGAGGCCATCACCAGTGAAAGAATTTCTAAACAAGTCAACAACAGATCCTTGAGTTAAGATCTCAATGCCCAGGGAACAAGTTCAGGGCAGGAAGCAGAAAACAAGATAAGAACAAGTAAGGGAAGAAAGAATGAGCAGATGTTAGAAAATTGAGCTGCAGACATGACAAGTGGTGGAAGAGCTCAGGCTGTGAAGTGTTAGGAATTGGGATCAGACAGAAATTTATCAAAATCAAGTTTTAATATTTTAAAATAATTAAGTTACAATAACACACTTTATTCAAAATAATTGAAGGTATTTCCCACAATGCTTCTGCAGGTTCAATGTATACTTCAGAGATCTTAAAAATTAAATCAACAACACTGACTATGGAGTACTCAGAATAAGTAAAATAAACAGAAAAACTGAAAAGTGTGACTGACAGTTCATCAGAAATGCGACTGTGACGAAACAGTTCAGACAGGAAAAAACCTTTTGACTGCTGGATGACTTGTGAAATTTGAACGAGAAAAAAAATAAATCAAATTTAACAAAAAAAAATGTTACAATAAATTTTGTTTTTCTTGTTTCTCTTTCTCTCTTTGCACAACTAACAGGTTTCAACGTACCGCTGAAATACTTTCCCTCCAAACACAGTGTCTTCTTAGAGAAAGGCCTGCTGTGTCATTTCACAGGGCTCAGCAGCAAAGTACTTTTAACCAAGTGATCATTATTTGTAAGCAGGCCTGGACAATGTTGGCTGACAAATAGACCATAGATTTCATCACATTCAAAACTCAAGCCCACACTCTTTTGGATATCCACATATTTCAGCAAATGTCACTACAATTACACTGTGCAGTTCTAATCAGCAGCATCAAATCTTGATTCAATTGCACAGGGTGCAGCTGGTAATCCCATACAAAACTACTTTCTATGAATTGAGGACATTTCAACTTACTGGTGTAATCACTAAGTGTGTACAACACAGTGATAAGATTATCCAGACATGGCCAGTGATCTGCATTGCACTTGAGTCCTTCTTCAAAAGCATGGCGGGCTAGTGGAACTCGAATTAGCCTCAGGGCTACTCTTCCTATTTTATACCAGAGGTTTACATCTGTAGAATCCAACATTACAGCCTGTGAAAGAGAATCGTTACAAATAAAGAGTTGGATTGACGAGTGTATGAATGGGGACTAAGTGAATTTAGCTCCAGGGAACTAAAGATATGGTGCATGGTTCAATAGGTGGCATTTTGCTTCATGTAATCACTGTTCCTCAAACTGTTACGAATGTCACTACGTTGGGACAAATTGCCTGACCAAGTGCAATGCATGGAAAGGCTGATCTGCTCCAGCCTCCACGCCACGCCTACAAAGCGGAGCAAACAATATAGAAAGTGATATGTAGAAAAGTACTGCACAAGCAGGAGAATGAACAGTAAGGGGGAATGAGCCAAAAGCGTATGAAACCAGCAGGAGAACAGTGGAACATCTGAGGAACCAGGGAAAACAAGGTCAAAAAGGAAATGCCAACCTTATCGGCTTCTTTTAATTTAAACACCAACAATCATAATTAGACCACTTAAAAAACCCCTGAGCTGGTTGCCAAAACAAATTCAAACTATTACCATTCAACAGTTTCAAATCTGGTAAAGTCTTAAACCTTTTCAAAATGATTCTCACATCAACTGTTGAGTCCCTGCACAAGATCTTTTTTAAATTGATATATTTTGTTTCTTACCTCCAGGTAAAATTCCATTGCTGTACTTGGGTCATCTTTCTGGGATGCTAAACTGGCCAGGTTTTTATACGTGGAATACTTCAGCATCAATCCAGGGTGCTTTAAACCTTCATTCTCATCACCCGATAGAACAGCCTGCAAGTTAACACAGCATTACAACATGCAGATTGCAATGAGAGAATAGATGGCTGCCAGTAAGCAGACGAAAACCATTCCAAAGCTTAACACTTGTGAAGAATCATGGAATAGGATCATAGAATCTCGACAGTGCAGAAAGAGGCCATTCAGCATGTAAAATCCCACCGAAGTGAAGTGATTCGTGTTTGTTATGTTAGCGACTACCAATTCCAAACAAAAGGCAGATCCTATGAAATGCCTTGAATGATAAACCACAAAGATCAAAACATGAGAAATATCAAAAGTAGTATTTACACATCTGCTCAAATATAAAAATGGATTAAAAAACAACAGTGAGACAGGATATTAGGAGGGTGACTCAAGCTTAGTTAAAAGATGAGACTTAAGAAAGGGGAAGGAGTTTAAGAAAGGTTTAAGAGAAGAAACTTCAGATTGTAAAGCTTAATCAGCCAAACACATGGTCACCAATGTTAGGGCAAAGAAAGAGACTGCACAACAGGCTAGAGGAAAGAGGAAGAATTCTAAGATCAGAGAAAGATAACTTTAAATCTGAGATGTTGGGGGACCAAGAACCAATATAGGAACATGAGCACAGAGATAACAGTGAGTGCAACTTGATGCAGGATAGGATATGAACAGAGTTCTGCATGAGTTGAATTTTACAGAGAATTCAATATGTTAAGACAGGCCAAGATAACACTGCTTTTATCATAGTGAATACTGGGTGTGCCACAAGGATCGACGCTGGGTCTACTGCTTTTTGTCATTATTATAAATGATGTGGACGTGAACATAGGAGGTATGGTTAATAAGTTTGCAGATGACACTAAAATTGGAGGTGTAGTGGACAGTGAAGGTTATCTCAAAGTACAACGGGATCTTGATCATATCAGCCAATGGGCTGAGGAGTGGCAGATGGAGTTTAATTTAGATAAATTGATGTGCTGCATTTTGGAAAGGCAGATCAGGGCAGGACTTGTACACTTAATGGTAAGGTCTTGGGGAGTGTGGCTAAACAAAGAGACCTTGGAGTCCAGGTTCATAGTTCCTTGAAAGTGGAATCACAGGTAGACAGGATAGTGAAGAAAGGGTTTGTTACGCTTGCCTTTTTATTAATCAGTGCATTGAGTATAGGAGTTGGGAAGTGATGTTGTGGCTGTACAGGACATTGGTTCAGCCACTTTTGGAGTATTGCGTGCAATTCTAGTCACCCTGCTAAAGGAAGGATGTCATGAAACTTGAAATGGCTCAGAAAAGATTTAGAAGGATATTGCAAGGGTTGGAGGGTTTGAGCTATAGGGAGGCTGAATAGGCTGGGGCTATTTTCCCCGGAGCATCAGAGGCTGAGGGGTGACTGTATTGAGGGGCATGGATAGGGTAAATAGGCAAGATCTTTTTCCGGGGGGGGGGGGGGGTGCGCAAAACTAGAGGGCATAGGTTTAAGGTGAAAGAAAGAGGGGAAAGATTATAAAAGGTACCAAATGGGCAACTTTTTCACACAGAGGGTGATGCACATATGGAATGAGCTGCCAGAGGAAGTGGTGGAGGCTGATATGATTACAACATTTAAAAGGTTTCTAGATGGATATATGAATAGAAAGGGATTAGAGGGACATGGGCCAAATGCTGGCAAATGAGACTAGACTTATATAGGATATCTGGCCAGCATGGACAAGATGGACTGAAGGGTCAGTTTCCGTGCTGTATATCTCTACAATTCTATAACTCAGTAGGTCTGACAGCATCTAAGGAGAGAGGAGCATAGTTAATACTTCAAACCTAGAATGACTCTTCTCGAAGGATGTGAAACATGTTACACCATTATTTCAAAGAACAGCAGTGGTCATTATCACAGTAATGCTTGTGGGAGTTTTGTGTTTACAAATTGGCTGCTGTGCTTCCCTGTGGGGCAGCACAGTGGCTCAGTGGTTAGCACTGCTGCCTCACAGCACCAGGGACCTGAGTTCGATTCCAGCCTTGGACGACTGTCTGTGTGGAATTTGCACATTCTCCCGATATCTGCATGGGTTTCCTCCGTGTGCTCCGGTTTCCTTCCACAATCCAAAGATCTGCAGGTTAGGTGGATTGGCAGTGCTAAGTTGCCCTATAGGGGATTAGCCTTGGGAAATGCAGAGTTACAGGGGTGAGTTTGGGTGGGATGCTTTTCAGAGGGTCAGTGTGGACTCAATGGGCTGAATGGCCTGTTTCCACACTGTAGGATTCCATGATCTATGAATACAAGAGTGACTACGGTGCACAAGTATTGCAGAGATGCTTATTTTCTTAACATTCAATTGCACAACTATTGCTGGGGCCCCCAATGTGAACATTGTGTTTGGTGCTTTCATCAAAAAACACGATAAACATCATGTCTATTACAGTAGGTCAGAGGCCAGGTATTCCATAGCGAGCTGCTTACCCTTTTGGATACCGCAAAGCACTCCTGCATCAATAAAGCATAAACCAGGAGTGTGATGCAATACTTTCCAAACGTTTATATGAAGTTATTGCATTACCACTCAAGATGATCAACACTCATTCCACACAGCTTATTCCTTCACCCCATCTGGAAATAAGCTTATTGTTTCCAGATTGCAAGTGTTAATCCATTCACTTGTAAAAATGGACGCTGTGTTATTTTTAGTTAATTCATTCATTCATTAATGGAATGTGGCCATCACTGGCTTGGCTATCATTTATTGTTCTTCCAAAATGCTATTGTTGGGGGTGGGTTCCAGGATTTTGACCCAACAATGCTGAACTAAGGGTGATATATTCCCAATGCAGGATGCTGAGTGGCTTGGAATACAATTTGCAGATGGTGATGGTCTAATAAATCTGTTGCTTTTGTTTTTCTTAAACGATTGCAGTCATGGGTTTGGAAGATGCTGTCAAAGGAGCTTTGATGAATTTCTGCAGCGCATCTTGTAGATGGTACACCCTGTTGCTACTGAAAACCAGTGGTGGAGGGAGTGAATGTTTGTGGATGTGGTGCCAATGAAGCAGACTGTTTTGCCCTGGATGGGATCAACCTTAAGTGTTGCTGAAACTACACTCATCCAGGCAAGTGGGATGTATTCCATCACACTCCCGATTTATGCCTTCTAGATGGCGGACAGACTTTTGGGAGACAGGAGGTAAATTATTCACTGCAGTATTCCTACTCTCTGACATGCTTTTGTAGCCACAGTATTTATATAGTGAATCCAATTCAGTTTCTGATCAATGGTTACTCCCAGGTAATTAGGTAATTTGGTATACAATTAGGACGTAAGGAATTTTCCTGAGCAGGGTCTTAATTGTCAGCACTTGCACACATCAACTCACACCAAAGGTATGGCTACCATTGTTGCAGAACACCAAATCTTAATCTACAATGGATCATGCATTATGCCACTCAAAAGTATGAAAGTAATACTGCAAATATAGAACAAAATAGCATGCCTAGGTCCACTAAAAAGAACAGTTGCGAGGGAACATAATAAATACCCAATTTATGATTTCTTAACAAAGTTGACTGATGTGCAGCACTCAATACAGACATTTCAATTCAACTAGTCAAATATTTTATTTTAACTGCAAAGACATTATATTGAGCATAAAAAGGGATGGACCAACTAAATCTTATACATGCTCACCTCTTTCAGCAGCTGTGTATTCAAGAGTTCATGATAGGCCTTTGCAGATTCTTCATAGCGATCATGTTTTTGCAGATCTAAAGCTTTGTGGTACAAAGAAAATGCTTCGGCTTCCTACGTTGGAGAAACATGTGTTAGTTTAATTACTTCAAGTTAGAGCCTGGACAACGAGGACACGATATGATCACACCTTCAATTAAAAAATAATAACTGCTTGCGGGAGATCCCCAGGTAACTTGATATAAAAGGGTGCCAATAGCCAGGAAGATCGAGGAATTTTGTCCTCAGTTTGTGCTTAGTTGATCTCAACTGGACTGTGACAATACACAATGTCAAACAATGGTACAAACCTGAGCCTCTTTTGTTTGAGTTTTGTGGCTCTTGAAGGATTCCTCGTAGTCTTCCACTACTGTGGTGTCATTTAAAGCAGCAATACGGATCTAGTAAAACAAACATTTCTTTTTAAAAAGTGACTATCATAAAACTAAATCACCAAACTTTACAAGCTTATGAAAAACAGGTACATACTTAAGTTACTGCTCTCTACTCTTCACAAAATTGAACGCAATAACGTATCACATTGGTTTAGTGATACATTAGCCATTTCAATAACAAACAATAAAGCTCCATTTTACAAAAATCCTGCTGTAAAAAGAATAGATCTAATTGACAACACATACTGATCTTTATCCTATTCTTTTTTAGGATCAATCCATACCAGTATATTAACCCCCAAACCTTGTGCTTAATTTGGTACATTAAACTCTTATACTGGACTTTTACCAAAAGCTTTCTGAAAATCCAAATTCACCACATCTACTAGTTCTCCCTCATCTATTCTACAATGTACCCTCAAAAACATATGCCAATAGGTTTGTCAAACACAATTTCCCTTTCATTAATCCACGCTGACTTTCATAGAATCCCTACAGTGTAGAAACAGGCTCTTGGGCCCAACAAGTCCACACCAACTCTCAGAACATCCCACCCAGACCCATTCCCCCAATAACACACCTATTCTATATATCCCTGAACACTAAGGGAAATTTAGCATGGCCAATCCACCTAACCTGGATAATAGGAGGAAACCAAAGCACCTGGAGGAAACCCACGCAGACACAGGGACAATGTGCAAACTCCACACAGACAGTCACCAGAGGGTGGAATTGAACCCGGGTCCCTGGCACTGTTAGGCAGCAGTGCTAACCACTGAGCCCCCACGCCGCCATGCAATCCTGTTGGATTTTCTAAGTGTCCTGTTATCACGTCTTTTATAATAGTCTCCAGTATTTTCCCTACTGCTGATGCCACAAGGTATGGTTGAAGCAAATAGCATAAAAGCATTTAATGGGAAGCTAGATGAGCTAATGAGGGAAAACTAATGGAAGATTTTGCTAATAGAGAAAGACAACAGAATGTTCAAGTGGAGCATGAATATTGGCCAGTTTCTGTGCTGTGCATCCCAGCATATCTAATGTACAAAAGATATCATCTCTGATCTCCAACATCTCTATCTCCAAATGTTATTCAGGCAGGATCATTAGCCACAGTACAAAAGGGCTAGAGACATCTCTCTCCATTAGAGAAAGACAATAGGTTACGTAGCTTGACAGTTGAGCATGAAGCAATACAAGGAAGCAGGCCTCCATAAAACTATGACAGCCGGTACAAAACTAAACCTGAGCTGTTGGGGGTGTTATCTGCATCACACTCAAGCCAACTGAGGCTACTTTATGATCTTTCCTCCTCTGGCCTTTCCTCTCACATTGTTATTTGTCCAAAGGCTTGGAGCACTGATAACGAGTACATCATATTACAGCACATCACCCTGTTTCAGCTCTGCCCAATGCAATGAAGACAATATCCATTGTACAAATGATGAGGAAGCTATATAATAGCAAAGGTATTACCTAGGGGACAGTGACTAGAATATAGGGTTCAGCATTAAACAAGACTAGGTTGAGTTTGATGGTGATAGGGAGGCATACAATAAGAAAAGTGTGTGTCCACCACATTTTAGCAAGAAGTTTTCAAATCTTGAACAAGGGATTCACAGTATCCGATTCATGCCCAGCAAGAGCTCAACACTTTACCTCAGTTGTCTAATGATTAAAAAAAAGACACAGTCTACTTTGGGTCAGTGCAGGTGTATCAAGTTGTGAAAGCTTCAAGAGGAGAGAATTTACTGTGGTAGCTTTGAACAAAAGTATATGAGACCAGCAGAACCTGAGCAGGCCTGAGAGATGGTGGGTTGATTTGGATCATGTTTTTTGGAAGGCCCAATCCACAAAGAGATTTTCCCATTCAGCTCCCAATAACTCTAAATTCTAAAGGATATGATAACATTGGCCGAACAGGCCAAGTAGGAAAGGATGCAACCTTGGAAAGATATAGTTTTAGCTGATGTCTCCTGTATATGTGACAGGGGTGAGGGCTGGGGGAACTCTTCCCTGGCATATGACAATATCACTGTAATAATTGGTTTGCAGGCTCCTAATCAGAGTAATGGGTTGCTGCATATTTCTGGCACCTAACTAACAAAGAAACAGCAAGTACAATGTTATAATGGAGATCCAGTTCACTAGTTACATTGAAAGGAAGACATTCAAAATGTTATTTTACCAAATTCACAAAAGCAAAAATAAACACACTAATTAAACAGGGATCAGATCAGTTATAGTGGCCCAGTATGGAATGGTTAGTGTTGGAAATGAACTCAGAAAAGACGGTGACATATTAGAAATTCAAAAGACGATTGACCAGAAGGACTCCAAGACTACATTCCTGTGTATGAATCTCCAAACAGCGCAATATCAGGGAGATGGTGCACTACTGGATATGGCACTTTCTGAATTAAACATTAAAGTAAGGCCCCTTTGATTGATATAAATTAGAGATCCTTATTCCACATGCTCCAAAGTTCTAGATTGAGGTATGAACCCACTTTCTAATCAAAAAGGCAAGAGCTACCACATAAAGACTATTGGAAAAGCTATAACAACCAAATGTTGTCTAATGCAATTCTGGTGTTAAGTTCTCAATAGGAGTACTGCAGCATTCGTTACCAGGAACGGACCTTGCATTATCCCTACTTTACCAGAGCATAATACTGCTCCCACTCTCTTCAGATAAAGCATCAAGAGTTTTGCAAGTTCAGGTAGACACAGTACAAACATATCACACTCAACCCTGTTTGAATGTTTCCTTGGTGACAGCAGTAACACGGAGAGAAATCAATTCCTCCAGATGACAAGCAAAGTACACTGTCAATAACGTCAAGACCTACCAAATTTTATGAGGAACTTTTTTTAAGGTAACTCTTTTGCACTTTTCAAAGCAAAACATACCTGGTGCAACCATAAAAATCATCTTCATCTTCATTATCTCTGTTAATGCTTCAGTAAAATTATGATGAAAAAGTGAACATAATGCAGTTGCTAGGTAATTCAACAAACCTTATACACTCAAATTCCAGATAGAAGACTTTTTTGTGGTATCTTTATGGCTAGCTCAAAAACAAGTGAAACTGTGAACCATACAACAATCAGATTAACATTCCATCAGTATCAGTGTACACCAAGAAGCATGGCATAATTGCAGAAGAAAGAGAAAGACTTCTATGTCACAAGTTATTTAAATATTCAATAATTTCTTGGCACTTACAGCACAGAGGAAGGAAATCTTCCAGATATTTCACTGGCAATTACAATGTTCAGTTCATTCATAACAGATGCAGGTTTGCCTACAAAAGGACTTAAATAACATCCTCGATTGGAAATTTAGCAGATAACATTCACACAACATCAGTGCCAAATTATGGCAACCTTCACAAAGGAAAATAACCTTCTCCTGACCTTCAGCAGCACCATCAACATCTTGGACATCACCATTGAGCATAAACTCAACTGGGCCAGTTATATCAATACCATAGCTACAAAGCAGCATACTGACTCTGATCCACTAAATGACCCCTCAAAGCCTCTCCCACATCAACATGAGTTCATGAAAGAACAACAAACCCTCCGTCTGCAATGTTTACAGCGTCTCGCTCCACAGATACTGGTTCACAAGTTCCAGCATTTCCTGCTTTTATTTCTGAATCCTTACTTATTGAAATGGTGCAACAGCAGCACCACGTCACAACCCCCAAAAAAAAAGTAACACCATCCAGGACAAAACAAACCACGGGACGGTCATCTCTCGTGTTTCCACATTCATTTATCCAGCTCATTCATTCCCGGTGCTCTGACTGAAGGATGCATTCGCAAAGCTGAGAGTTTCCAGGACCGAGAGCAGTAGCTGTGTTGATGGGGACAGCACCCTGCGAGCTCTCTTGGTTTCTGTACCCTCACCAGGTCAGGGCAGCCTACCCGAGCCCTGCAGCTGCTTAGTAGGAGCAGGGCCTCCGCAAACTGCAGGCTCCCGCCTGTGTGCAGTGCACTGCAGCCCAGCCCAGCGCAGTCACCCCCACCCCCAGCATTCCTGAAGACCAGGTACAGCTCACTCACCATCGTGCTCCGCGGTCCACAGGCGGCTCCTGGCTTCACTCACTCTCAGAGAGCCGGCCGGCGGTCCAAGGGCTAAAGCCTGAGGCCAGAGGATGCCGCCAGCTCTCAACATCCAGCCCTGTCTTTCACCGTTACCATGGGACCGAGCCCACCGCACAATAAACCGGCTTCCTATTGGCTGGGAACACCACTAGGCTCTCCCAAATAGATCTCTCTCCGCTGAGCAACCAATGGCCGCAATATGACCGAATTGGCGGGATCGGGAGATCCAGTAGGCGGGATCCACGGATCCCAAGCGCGGCGTCTAGAGATCCAGTGGGGCCGGATCTGCGGATCCAGTGGGCTGTGACTGGAGCTCAAGGACGGGATCTAGGAATCCAGTTGGTGGGATCTACGGGCTTCGTCCGGAGAGCTCACGGGCGGAGTTTGGGGATCAAGTGGGCGGGGTCAGGAGGTCCATGGGGTGGGGCCATGACGCGAAGGGGGCGGTGCTTGAGGCGGGCGGCTGATCTGGAAGCCCAGGGGCGGAGCTGGAGGCTTGGGGGTGTGGCTAGACGGACTGGGGGCGCGGCTTGATTTCCGTGGGCGGGGCGGCGTGTGCACCGGTGGGGAACGGATGCGCAGGGAGCGGGGGTGTGGTGGTTGGTCGTTCGGGGCGGGGCCAGCTGCGCTGGGGGCGGGGCTGGATGTGCAGGCGGCGGGGCCAGATATGCAGAGGGCGTGGCTAGATGCGCAGGGGGTGGTGCTACTGATTGACTGTCCAGCGGGGAATCTTGTCTGGATTTTAAAGATGGCGCACAGTAGGATTGGAGGAGGTGAAGTGTAGGTCAGAGATGTTTAGGGGTCAGTGATCATTTTATCGTAATGTTTAATATATTTATGATAATGTTTATCATAACGAGTAAAAATATTTAAGCTGACTATGGACCTAGACAAAGGACAATCCAGAGTAAGAATAATTACCTGGAAGAACCCATCTTCAATTGGGTAAGAGCAAATCTGAGTTGAATAAATTGCAGTAAAATGTTGCTAGGAAAAACAAAGGTGAATAATAGGTGGCCTTCAGAGAATACATAGTTCACACACAAGTAGGTGCCTGAAAGGAAAAGGCAGGGCAAACAAATCCAACGTTCCTGTGAAATAAGACTAAGGAGATAGAAATGAAGATAAACAACATTGTGCATATGACCAAAGTCAGGTGGAAAATATAATTGAGAACCAGACTAAGAATAAATTGTTCAGAGGGGAGGTTAAAAAAAAGCAAGTGAAACAAAGAGACTGACAGCTAATATAAAGAGGTATACCAAAGCCTTCTATAGGCTTATAAATAAAGGATAATAAAAGGAATGGGCCAGTTAGGAACCAAAAAGGGGATACACACATGGAGGTAAGGGCCTAGCTATGATATTAAATAAAGACTTTGCATCGGTCTTTACCAAGGAGGAAATTGTTGCCCAGGCCATAGTGAAAGAATGGAAAATTCAGACACTAGAAAAGGTTGAACTTGATAAGAACGAAGTATTGGGTAGGCTGTCTGTACTTAAAAGTTGATAAGACACCAGGACCAGATGAGATGCATCTAAGGACACTAAGTGAGAATGGAACTTGCAGAGGCACTGGCCATAATTTTTCTGACTTCCTTTGACTCAAGGGTGGTTCCAGAGGACTGGAGAATTGCAAATTTTGCAGACTCGATCCAGAAAAAATGTAAAGATGAACCAGTAAGTGCAGGCCAGTCAGCTTTATTTCTGTGTTGGGGAATCTATCAGGAAAATCAATACAGGATAAAATAAATATTCACAGGCACAATGCAACTTAACTAGGAAATCTTAAGGTGAAAAATGTATCTTGCATAAATTTTTGAAACTTTTTGAAGAGGTACTGGTGGGAGTTGATGAGGGCAATGATGTGACATGGTGTTCATGGACTTCCAGAATACCCCACAATAGACTTTTGAGGAAAGTCTAAGCTCATGGAATAAAAAGAACAGTAGCAATGTGGATATGGAATTGTTGGATGAGACAAAACCATGAGTAGTAGTTAATGGACGTTTCTTCAGACTGCAGGAAATTTTGTCATGGAATTCCCCAAGGGTCAGTGTTGGGGCCATTGTTTTTCCTGGTACATATATATTGTAATAATCTAAACCTTAGTGTGTAGAACAAAATGTCAAAATTTGTACATGATTTCAAGCACTGTAAACTGTGAGGAGGATAGTGCAGCACTTTGACAGGTCGGACAAGTTGGCAGAGTGACAAGTGGTAGACGAATTCTACTGCAGAGAATTATAAAGTGATACATTTTGGTAGGAGGAACATGGACACAGAGAACACAACTCTAAAAAGGGGTGCAGGAGCAGAGAAACTGGATTATATGTACATAAGCCTCGACAAGTGACAGGAGAGGTTGAAAGAGCATTAATAATAAGCATACAGTATCCTGACCTTTATTATTAGAGATATCGAATACAAGAGCATGGTGGTTATATCACACTTGTATAAAACACTAGTTCAGCCTCAGCTGGAGTATTGTGAACAGTTCTGGGCACCACACTTTAGGAAAGCTTTGAAGGTATTCGAGTGAGAAGAGATTTACGTGAATAGTTGAAGGTATGAAGAATCTCAATGATTGCTTAAGATCTGGAATGCAGTGCCTGAGAATGTAGTGGAGACAGGTTCAAACTCTTTCAAATGAGAATTAAACTTATCAGAATAGGTGGAAACGT